TTCACAGAATGATCACTCAGTGGGCAAACTGGTTAACTTTGCTGGATTTCTCATGCTTTCACTTTTAAAACAAATTCACACAAATAAAACACCTGGATAAAAAATATAATTACCTGATAACCTTTATTGGAGATGTGAAAGGGACTCTGAAACAGTGCTTTATAAAGCGCATCATACAAGGCCTTCGTTTCCTATGTGTGCGGAGACGCGGCCCCAGTCCCGTACTCCCACTCAGCCACCCTATTTATGAAGAGGTCATCCTGGTTGGCCACAAAATGGTGGTCCCATCTTGGCCGGCTTTATTTTTACGTGGGCACAGTGACTAGAGAAGGCGTTGATACTTCCCAAGCCAGGCGGCCTGCTCAGGTCCCAGATCTTGTCGTCTGCACTATGCTCTCCCCCAAGTGGTCCCGGCTCGTGTTTGATTTACATGCACAAAAACAGTGTGAGCCTCCCACCCACCCCCAGTGTGGGCAGCAAGCAGTCTGCTCCACTTCTGTGGCAATTTCCCACCCTTCCTCCGTGCTCTCAGAATCTTCCAGGGAGGATGAAAACAAACTAAACCAAGACTAGAACGCTAGAAACATACGGATACACCAAAGCAGAACCATGAGGCATGGAGTGCAGGGAGCAAGATGAGAGAGAAAGACAAGAGGTTAAACTACGCAGTTACACCTGCCAGTTCAGAAAGAGGGTAAGAGACACACTCGATAAAAGTAAAGCCCATCTAGCTCCCTTCTTCCACAAACTATTTTAATGCAGCAAGCAAAAACACTACATCGTGTAGTAAGCACTGTTAGTATTCAACACTTCAACATTTTATGGTGCATCACATAAAAACAAAGTCATATGCTTTTGCATAAAATCAAAAAAATGTAGATCAATAAAACAGCAAAATCAGGAGGAAAAACTCCAATTTTTCCTCAAAATACAGATAGTTTTAGGTTAATTAGTGGACAGTAAATGTTTATGGCCCTATATTGAGCTTTTGTAGCCAATCAAAAAAATGAAAAAAGTCATCCTGACATAGAATAGTCCAAAAGCCTAATTCACAAAAAAAAAAAAAAAAAAAAAAAAAAAAAAAAAAAAAAAAAAAAAAAAAAGACAATTTGTTCTATGTTTAATAACATGTTTATTTAGGATGGTAACAAGATAAATCATGCAAGAGCTCAGTAAAAACAAAACAAAAACAAAAAAAATCTAAAGAGTATAAGGAATGGCAATTGGTGCTGCCAGTTAAGAAAAAAACGTAAATCAATTTACTACCCGAAAGTGATACGAAAAACCGTGTGAATCTGAGCATGGACATGGTTGTAGTAATCTTTTGAAAGTGAAAATAAAGGTGACAGGTGACTGCTTGGGTTCTGTTCCTCAGAGGACATAATCAACGTCCCTCACATCCCACACCTGGGTGGCAAGCGGCCTAGAACCCCTGTCCACCAAGTTCTTCGACATCCTCGGGACAGTCTCACGCTGACTCTTCTTAGCAGGAGAAGAGGGCGGGCACCACTGGGGACTCTTAAACCTGACTCCTTCTACGTTCAGAATCTTAAAATTTTGGTAATGAAAACCAGAAGACTTGCAAGCCATCCTTACCGGTCTTACGTGTAGTGTTGTCATGTCCGAGGAACGATGTCCACGTTGGGTGGGAAGAAATTTGAACAGATATACCAAATTCAACATAGTGTCTCAGATTTCAAACAAATATAACTCATCTTTTGGCAAAAAATAAATATAGTGGAATGCAAGTTTGATAGATGGAAGAATATATAATCTACCAACTGTCAAGGGAGTACAATTTCATTGCAGACACAAAGAATCAACAATTTCAAAGAATTAAAAAAAAAAAGGTTGCACTTATTCCTCACAAAATCTTCACTTTTGGAACTACCCCAATTGAAGCTACACACTGAATTTATTAATACAGCATTAAGTTCCTTTGTGTAAAAAAATCTTTGTACATAGTAATAAAAAAAGATAAGGCAAGATGCATTAAACAGAAACCTTCTGGCTCTTTTCCTCGGGGTTCCTACAGAGCCACTGATGACTATCTGAACAAAAGAGTTAAGTTTCTGATTTTCCGTATCAAGCATCTTGTGCCTTTGCTGTGGTAAGAACTCTGTCCGAGCACCCTGAGGGACAGATGCTGGTGGTGGTCTTTGGCACTTACGCTGGCAGACTGAGCTTCTTTCCCTTGAGTACTAGGATTTTAAAGAGAGGAAGAGAAAACAAAAGGTTACTGCTATTGACAAGCTTACAGTTTCCTTTTTCCCATTCCCAGAGGCCTGTCACACTCAAGACACTACAGAATAAGGTCCAAGGAGACAAGCTTTTGGCACCAACAACCATTTGATTTTGGTGTCAATAAACAGAACCCTCTGAGCTATGAATATGTCATACACTCGAAATTTCTTCATGTACCTCAATGCCACAGCAAGTGAATTTAAGAAACACACATTCGATTGAAATTGTCACCAAATTCACAGCAGCGTTTTAGGATTTTCTCCCCTGATTCAACATATATTAAAATGTAACTGTTACTATGTATAAAAGTCTATGAAATATTGGAGGTTAAAAAAGAGAGAAGATCTATGTGCTCTTATATCTAGCCATTAGGAATCATACCGTATAGCTGTTTAGCAAGGGTTCTTAGCCTGGGTCAGTGGCTGCGTTTCAGGGGTTCCTGAATCCCCTAAAACTATATGCTTACATCTGTGTGCACATGCATAAATATGTCTTTTTCCCCCCATCAGATTATTGTGACGTTTGCATGTCCTATATTCACATAAATGGGGCAATGTATATATACAAGGATACCGATTAAGCACTGGATTTTAATAGCAGCTAATGAGTAACAGCCTGAATACCCACGAACAGGGGGCTGAGTAAGTAAATTATGGTAATACACATAATGAAATAGTCTATGGCTACTGAAAACTACGTAGATTTCTATCTACTGACTTGAAAAAAATGTAAGTGGGGAAGAAAACCCAGATTACAGAATAGCACGTATATTCTAAAAGTCCGCCATCTATGTATACACATAGACACATCAGGAATTGCATTTCCCGAAACATTAACAGCAACTATCTCTGAGTGCTAGGGTTTCAGGTGACTGTTTTCAGAATGATGAAAGCTAATTCAATTTTTTACAATAAAAACATGCTGTCACAGAAAAACAATAAAGGTCGGAAAAGAAAAAAGGCTGAAAACCTTGATCCAGAATTTTATTTGATGGTCGTTAAAATGTTTTTCTGAAACGAGCTGTGCTTTTGGAGCGAGCGCCAGATTAGGAGCGTGCTGGGCCAGGTCGCTCCTGAAAACACGCGGCGGGAGGAACAGGGCGGGGAGCACGTAGCCCAAGGTACCTTTTGTGATGTACAAGTAGAAGAAGTCGCAGTACAGAATGGTCTGGACGACGCCGGCCACCACAGCGATGAGGTCAAAGAAACCCTCGAAGTAGAAGCGCCAGATCCAGTTGACGAGATAGAGAGCGCGGTAGAGGCCCAGGAAGAACAGGTAGTGGGTAGTGATGGTCTCCGCCTCCCCTGTCTTGCTGATCATGAAGAGCTGGGGAAGGATAGCCACGGATTCCAGGTAGATGGAGAAGGTCCACAAAATCTGTAAGAGAAACCACAAGCTTTGGTCAGTATCCACCGTGAGCTCACGGGAAATACTCTTGCTTTATCATGGAGCAGCTCAAACAGCAGTCTGGGCATCTGAGCACAAACAGAGTAGCTTAGCAGTTTGATAAATCACAGAAACTTTAGCTACATTTAAGAGGCACGACACTCCCAATGACAGGCTGGGTAACTGGACGCCTCGGCCGGTGTGAATTTTCATGACCTCGTCTCTCCAACATCTCCTTCCCTGTACAATTTTCTGTGAATCTACAGACACGTTTCTCCCGGATAAGCCTGACCCACTGCGAATCTAGGCTCCCGAGTGAACGCTGCTCTCTGCCGGGGCACACGATGCTGACAGCCGGGGCCACCCCTTTCCCACTGCTGGTCTGCCTCACCGGCTGGTCTCCTTCCCAGAGGATCTCAAGATTCTCATCATCTTTCTTATTCTTTAGGCTTTTTCGGTGTGGCTAAATCAAAGGGGCAAGTAATGGGAATTGTAATTATGCAAACTCTCTGCCCCACACGGCACTTTATTCATGCCGACGACAGAAGGCCTCGCGGGGAGCCCTGCATGTCTGAATCCATGAGCGGCAGTTTCCCCAAGACACGAAGGGAAGGGCGAGGCACTTAGCAGCAGGCACGGCTCTGTGCAGCGCAGGGCGCCATGCCAACCACTCCCCCTAAACGCCAGAGCGCAGCAAGGCTGCTGAGGGGATTCGCACGTGGTATCCATGCACGACACCCTTACGTGAAGAGGAAACAAAAGCTGGGTCAGAGTAGAGAGAAGATCACGTTCTTCCAGCACTCGGATAGGCAAGGCACTGCACTCACTACTGCAGACGCCTACTTTATGTTCTAGGGGAGAATCTGGCAATAATCCATCAGCAGACGCCCAAATACCTGGGGGCTTTATTCCCGTCTGTGACTTATTTACACCAAATAGTATATGCTGCCCCAGAAGCTTGCCAAACAGAAGACACAAGCAAAACAGAACTGTCCCACGTTATCTGCAAACACGGCTATTTCCCTGGGGAAGGAGACATGCCCACTAACTGGCCCCCTGACTCACCTCAAGAGGAGAGAAATCGTGATTGACTAGAAAGGAGAGACCTCCCACGGGGACCACCAGGAACTCCACTCGGAAGGTATCATGGTTTCCGTCGTAGGTCGCCTTGAATTTCATGTAGATCAGGTACACCGTGGCGTAGGAGCAGGCGATATAGATGAGCTAAGAACGAGAAAAGCACCAGGTCACGGATACTTCACGGCGGTTCCAACTTCCTTGGCTTCCTTCTACATCATTCGTATGCTCAGAAAGGCAAGATTTATTTCTTTAGCTTTTTTATTTTGATGCTTAAAGACAATAAACTTCATTTTTTGGGGGTGTATACTTCTATAAGTCATATAACCACCACCATGATCAAGACACAGAGTAGTTCTATCTTGTGACCCCC